TCTGCTTAGTGTAACTTCTCTAAAAAGAATCAACAATGAAAAAAAATTAGAAAGCAAACAACATTTTATCAACAACATTAAAATCAACACATTTAATCTATGTATTTCATGTCCGACTACATGAGTGTAACTATTTCAGTTTTAACCTTTTATTCAAAAATGTCAGCTAGAGTCATCAGGTGTTGGAGGTTTCACACAGCAGTCTTCTTCACCGTAGAGATATTCAAGTTGAGGCATTGGGCTGGTGTCCGATGTCTGTACCATTTGATATTCGATATTTCGATGTTGATTAAAGGTATTTTTTACAGTCTGTGAGATGACCTTTACACATAACACCCTAGCCACAGGAATGCCACAAAAACAACAAAAACCCAGTATTATCCTCACCCTGACCAATTGCATTACCACATTTGACAAGATGTTCTTCGAACCTCCAAACACATTAATAAACCATCCCTCAGTTTGCGTGGCTGATTTTGACACCTCATGCATCTCCACAGATAATGACCTAAGACCTTTAACAGCCTTTGTAAATGACCCATCAGTGTCAGTGTTTCCAGGAATGTATGTACAACAAGATGACCCAAAGAATGAACAGACTCCRCCTTGTTCTGCCAGTAAATAGTCTAATGCAATACGATTCTGATATGCCATTAAAGATGTCGCATACATATCAAACTCACGTTTAACCCTGTTCAATTTAACACCTTGCTTATCCAAAAGAGTTCGATGGTCCTGTAGTTCTGCCCTAGACACCTTTAACATTGTTGCATTCTCCCACAAAGATACATCTATCACCTTTTTGCACCATGTTATGTTCAGCTGTCCAACATCCACGCTTCTCTGCTGCCTCCTTCTGGACAAACAAGTGTAATTGCCCTTCACCGGCTTGAAGACAGGTGGAACATCTGTTTTTGACAACATAGGAAAGAAATGTTCTAAATATTTACACTGCACTGATGGGTTATCATTAATATGTAATTGAAACATGCAGAAAAATGTTAACACATTACTCAGTGGTGATGGAACTGTCAATAAAGCTGGTCGTGCGTCCGCACAAACCACACAATTTGACAATTTTGCTTGATTGGCAGCATTTCTCACAAACGTTAACCAATAATTTGATTTTGTCACTCCAGTTTCTACAACAAGGTCTTTACTCGATCCCACATCAACTGTCATCTCCAAGTCATTAAGTTGCACAACAACAATGTAAATTTTACCCACAGGATCACGTCCTCTCACAGCAAGCCCCATCAACAGAAATCCAATGTCTGACACCTGTGGATCTCTCAAAGTCAGAAACATAGGGTTACAAATGGAATCTGAATGGAACCAGACATATACTCTTGCTGATTGCTGAACCCCCCTTTTCTGATCCACAATTGTAAATAGATCACTACCAAGCCAATAGCATAGAGTCAAGGTATTTTATAATTCCATACTCACCATTTTTACCAATTAATCACAATGTATCTCTCTGCTGCCACCTTCAGGCCTAACACCACATCTCAAAGCAACTCCCAGAAAGGAAAAAATACACTTAAAAATAATTAATAACCATAAAACAGAACATATCCTGAATCCTGAAAAGGRAATGGTTACGCTTGCGCAGACAGTAGTTCACATCACAGTTATTCACATTATTTTGACATCATGTGCTGTTTTGTCCTGAAAAATAAATGTTAGTTTTCAACACCTCAGTGAAAATTTGTTAATTTCCACCTGTAAATCAAAATTTAATTACTTTCAGCTTGAGACCTGTGGAATTTGTTATGTTATGATACAATCAACAAGTTGTAGTTAAACAGAGAAATACAGCATAATACATTTTCACCCTGGAAGCAGTTTTTTTTTTTTTTAAACATTCGCCTTAAGAGTTTCACCCAACCTTGCTTGTCATGACCTGTGAAAACCTTGCTCTGAATCATGTTATCCACAGAGCAATGATAACATAGACTC